CTGTGCTCAATTCCTACGAATGACTAATATATGAATTAAATAATTAACTATAAATGCAGTTCATGGCTCTAATTTAAACATAATTGCATATTTTTTTAAATATTTCACAAGGAATTCTATTATACAATATATATATAAACAATATTCCATATTTACTGCTTCGAAACACACGTGTTGGTAACCATAGAAGTCTGTTTTTGACTAATTTTTACATTGATGAATTGTAAATGTATTGATCTCATAAGTTTAGTTATAATATTGAAAGTATAAAAATTATAATCTTGAAATAATCTACATTGTTGGATTTGCTCTTAATATTATTTGTATAACTTCTTTTTTTTTTAATTTTAAATATTTAGACTTACTATTTATTTATTTACTCAAAAATATTATTGATAAATTTAATATGAAAAATATAATCCAATTAAAATATATTGTTGTCAAATAAAATCACAAATTACAATATACGTTTAACTTTAATGCAAATATGTTATGTTTCATTTTAATTTCCCTTTAGATGAGAAAAAAAAATTCTATTAAAAGTTAAAATAAATATTTAAATAATTTACTAAATCAAAGAGTAGAACAACATTAATTATGCAATTTCTAAAGAACAATTTATCAGGACAACGAAACAAACTTGTTTAAATAAGTTAGTTTACTCATAGTTCATTTATTTTATGATATGACAGAATAATACAAATAACTATTTAAATTTAAGACAAATCTTTCATAAAAATTTCATAAACAGGTTCACTTAACAGTCAGAACACGTCTTATATTATTATGTTAAAATTTATAAAAATATAAAAAAAATAATAAATATTTAAATTTCAACTTAATTTATAATTATATAATACAGGTGATGGATAATTTATTAATGGTACTTATTAATCTAATTTAACATTTAATTTTAACTATAAATAACATTTTATATTTTTGCTTCTTCGTCTTTTTATTTTAAAAACTATTCACTATTTATTTAAATTTCAATTTAGTTCAATACGTTTTTAATATTTAACCTTCTGAATTGTCTATGACATATATTTCTATTATTTATTTTATTTACCTTTAGTAGGTAACTCATCAATTTAAATGATTATATACTAATAAATGGTAAATGGATACATTTAAATAATATGAAATAAATATATTTAATTTTTTATGTAAATTTACATTTTTTTATTTACCATAAAAAAACATTTTCCATTATTATTGGTATTCATATTACTTAACATAATTATTTGACTTTTAAAGGTTAATTAATTGTATCTTTTTGAAAGGTAAATATTAAGAAAAACCTTTTTTTTGTAAGTAAATTATGCAATCGATTACATTTAAAATGTAAAATGTTAATAACTAATAATAATAATATACATAGTTTATTTTTATGTTAAAATATTTCACAATTATTTTCAAAAAAATATAATTCGAACGTAAAATATTTTTTTTAAATGTTGAACAATTTTTAATTACACGTTGTCAGTATTTAAAAATATTTGAAGTATTGACTTAAATTTCCAATTTAATTTAAATCCTATAAACAATTATAATCGTTTAATCGTAATTGAATTGTCTCAACATTCTTTATAAATAGTATTTATTATTCAACTTTCTCCTCTTAAATATATGGTCTATAATATAGCACCATTTTATATAGGAAAAGTATGGGAATGAAAATCAAATTACATCATAAAGGATACTAATGTAGAACTATATGTGTTAGTGTTTCAGGGATAATTGAACGAATATATCAAGTCTAATATGTGTAAGGGATTCAATGAGGAAGCGGATGTTGGAAAACGTCTTGACGTTTTTCGGAATGAGCTCGTAAAAAGAAATTGCCAGAAAACCAAAATGAATGATCTAGGCAATCAATTGGCTTTTACTAAGAACCAATAATGAATAACGGAAGTCTGGTGCCGTTATTGGACACGTGCCCGCAAAACTTGTGTAGATGATTTTGTAATTCATTGATTTTTCGGTACATAAATTAGATGTACACGGAAGAAATTCCATGTAATACCAATAAGTGATAGCTAATAACCAATCAACATTTTCCCAAATCATCAAAAATAAAAATATAAAATAGTTACAAGTACTTATGCAAATTTAACATATCCGCAAATTTTGGTGACACGTATATTAATAATTTTATGTTCTTATAATCCAGAATTTTGTTTTAAATTTCAAAATATACTACTTTAAAAGAAAATAATTAAATGTGAAACTTGAAATGTATTAGTTATGTTTTTTAAATACTTTTTAAACTAAAAGATTGTTGTAAAATATTTTATTATCTATCTCTATTAGACTGTTAAAAACCTGATCTCTATAGTTAATATATTTTTAATATTTGGTTATCTTATAAGTAGATTTAAAAGAAAATCTATTTGACGAAAATTCTTAAACACACGTGATTTGAATCACTTAGAATTAGTAAACGAATTCAATTATTAAGCAAAGTTTTCAAATTTAATATTCACAATACAAATGGAAAATTTAACCACAGCCGCTTCAGTTTTCCTTCCATATCCTAAATCGATATATTTTTAATATTTTCATCGGAATAAACTGTAATAAGTTATACAATTATGTCTAGTGCAACGAATTATCTGATAAACAAATAATTATAATAACAATCATAATCGTATATTTGCATACCACGTCTAATTTTTTATGATACACCTATTACATATTTTAACTTTTAATTATTTGAATATAGTCCATGATTTATCTTTGAAAATAGTTAAGAGCGTAGGCATAACAATTTAGCACAACATTATGATAATAAAGAAACTAATATATTTTAAGCTAATGGTTCTAACGGATGTAGGTCAACGGTCAGTAAAACGTCGGGATGTTGCTCTAACACCCTTTCTTTTCGACAAACGGTTTACACCAGAACGTACTTTAGTCTTCTTTAGGTCGTCGTTATCTCACTAAAAAAAACCTGGAACCTCATTTGTCCTTCTGTGTATACTACAAAATGTTACACACCATAATGTTTAAAGATAAAGAGCGGTATTATTAAAGATACACAGTAAACTACGCTGCTTGGCAGACATGATTAAGTTTTAGCAGTCGAAAATAAACTACGAGATACTGATGTGCGTAACCGTTTATTTTCATAAAAACATTAAAATAATTTAAAAAAACCATAAGAAAAAATTATTTCATTTAATTCAATAGCTAAATACCTAAAATATTAAACATTAAAAGCTAAAAAAAAAAGTTTATTTATCAATAATTCATATATTTTATGTTTGGTTATATTAATTTAGTAAATAAAAAATGTCTCATTAACAAATCATACTGTTTTGATTAATATTTGAATAATTTATTTAAATTTAAAACATAATTTGTTTTTTTTTAATTAGTATATAAGTATGTATAAAATAGAATTCTTTTTTTTTTTTTTAATTAACATCTAAAACCTAAATGTCAATAGATAATAACAACAATTATTTTTCTTAATTAAACTAAATAAAATCTTAATTCGTGTTTCAGACTAAATATGAATCTATTGCTACAAAATTAGCCTACAGTATATAAGTATAGTTATCTATTATTAACTGATCGAGTATAATCTCTGTTCTAACTAATATTAATACATTTTACGTATGTCAATTTTTTCCTGTTATACTCTGTATAATATATTTAAATATGTATATATTATATTCAAATTTCGCTTTTGAAATTAAAATAATTATTTAGCCAATATTTCAAAATTTTGAATGTAAAAATAAGTAATTACATCTATTTAACTGTAAATAAATATATTGTGTGATTATGTTCGGCATGTTATAAGAAATATGAAATGAATAAAAATACATAAAATGCTTACGATTTATTAAGATCAATTAGGTAACTACTGCGTTAAATAAAATATATATGATTATATATATCTTATAATTATAAAATATAACATATCAATAAAGTTTAATCATTCGTAGAATTAACTTTTGTTTCACAGTGTTAGTAATTAAATACTACTTTCATAGTGAATTATAACACATTATTATTAAAATAATGGTGTAAAATGTTTACTTATAATATAAATATTGAAGCAAAAATAAAAGGAATACAGAAATGTATTAGTCATTCAATTTATAACGAATTTCAAATCATTGCACCAGAAAAAGTTATCTGACCTTGATTTACTAAGATACATAGACATTTTTTAAGATAGTCAATGATCGTAAAAAAAATATGATGAAAAAATTGTTTAACTTACTCTACTATACGTATAAGCATAAAATATGATTGTTTATAGCAGATAAATATTTTCTTTACCAATGATGATTATAATTAAATTTTAAAAAAGTAATTTAACTTTTAGTGAATACCCAGAAATTAGGTATTGTTTAGAAAAGAAATTTAAAATTTAATCACATCTTCAACTGGAGTTTTAGTGATATTCAATTATAATTACTATTATTATTATTATTATTATAAAAAAATAATATAACCATACAAAATACAATTAAAAATTCGATTAAAAAGCTATATTAAAATTTTATAAAAAGATATTAATGCTTATTAAGCACTTATATAGTATTTACTTAATAAAAATAATTCGAAACATGTACCTAATTATACTATTATTATTCCAGTATATTTATCTAAACATTTGAATTTACACCGCTAATAAGTTAAACACTACAAAAACAAACCTAATGTTTATAATAGTATAACTATGATTACGTCTTTACGTAATTAGTGGGGTAATTTAAGAGTTAGTTATATAAGTACCTACTATACTTTATCATATTAATAGACGATACTATATCTAAGCTTACGTCTAAGACCAAGACGTCATTCGTCATTAACTGTCAACATTTTTGTAAATACGTACGTGAAGAATATGTTTCTTTTTAAATCAAATTATTTTTTTATTTTTTTTTTTTTCATAATTTACTGCCATGCATACAATTGTAATTATTTTGATGACCGTCAATAAATGATCATAAATTGTCTGAAATATAACTACGGCTTACCCATAACTGGTACTTGAATACATTTCTGATGTTATTTTAAAATTCACGGTCAAATCTGATGATATTACCATTAGTTATAAATAGTTGTACTAATAATTTTAATAATAACAACAAACGCACGTGAATCGTAAAAGTAAGTTATGACCGCTATTCGCAGGGATTGTCTACGGGTTACCAGCGTCGCGCTGCACACCCAAACGCATTTTGAACGATACTGAACGCCATACGGCCACAACGCGGAAACGACGAGGCGTGCTTCTTGGGAAAGAAAACGGCCGCTTTCAGCGCTCACACGGTTTGAGCGTATGTGGCTGAGGCTGTTACGTAATAAATGAGAGCACATGTGAACCAGCCTATGTTATCCACCCCTAATCTAACATATATTTCCATATCTGATTTGATCGGAATTATTATTGAATCTCTGCCCCATCCCTTCCGTTTGACAACTGTAATAAATTACTCGCCAATACGGCCACGCGTACTATACATACACCATATCCAGACACATCCGTCCACTGGTGTAATTAGACCCAGATATATGCAAGTGCAATGGACGCACTTGCATAATTTTACGTACCCAAAATGTATATTTTACATAATTTAAATATTTATTTATACAAAAAACTTGAAAAAATCATAATTTATGAAAATATTTTAGTTTTATTTTTCTTAAATATTTTGATATATTTTTTTTTCTCGTAAACTAACTAATAGAAAATAATGATTATTTTATACTCTGAATTTAAAACAAACTTTTTATCTGTGCCGAAAAAACAATTATTGCTGCAGTACAATTTATAATATTTTCAAAACATAAGATGAACGGTGCAAACATTTAATGTATTATACGGTACTGTCAAATGCATTTAGACTTATTTAACAAATATTTCTTTACATTAGTTTAAGTAAATGGGCAATTTGATGGAATTCTGATAAATAATAGGTGCACTAAAACGTATATTACGTATAAACTTATACCCAAACTAACTTATGCACTTTTCCCCAATTTAATATAATCAACGCTCTCTGTAGTATACACCTATAGCCTATAACCTATGTTTTAAAATATTTTACCATTTACCATTACCATTTAAATAACAGCATGTTATCGACTGTACGTTATATATTTATTACACCATTATAAAATCCTGTAAGACGTATGATTAAATATACTGTATAAGAACAGTAATTAGCTATAGTTGTACAGGATTTAAAATGAGCATATTTAGTGGGAAAAAATTTTGGTTTAAACTTTAAAACATATCAGGCAAATATTTTTCTGGTGAAAATGTATGAATAAACTCTTTAATTATTGAACTATCATGAGTTTCTTTGAAAAAAAATTTTGTGTTTAATGTGGAGATAGTTTAGACCTTTTTAACTCTCCCCTCTGAATCATTTACTGTTGTATCATATATGTTATTAAATTATAATTTCAAGCATTTTTCTTGGAGGTAGATATTGAAATTGCACGTTTTTAAATGTTTACCATATTCTATTACATTGTACCCTTTAAATTTATCCATATAATAATACATGTGTTGTGTTATACGCTTAAAATATTTATATTTTACATAATGTGATGTCTGAATAAAAATACGTGCATTTCTTTGTACCAATAACATTTTAAATTCCATATATGTCTTATAACTAACATATCATTAAACATTTAATCCTTTGTTGTCATTATACTTATGATTTTAAAATTATCACCATCTCTGTAACTATAGTAATTGTATAATTATAATTTACCCATGCACATTATGTGCAAACATAACCTTTTGAATACACTTGGATTGTAAATAAAAATATTAATATTAGTTATGTGCTGTGAAATAAAATATGTGAAAGCAAAAAAAATCGCTACACAAAACGCTTGCTCTATTTTATGTAAGGAAAAAAAACTGTTCCGGTTTGCTCTTGAATTCGAGTGAACTATAATTTTTTTATATTTTATCCATTGATAATATCTGTTGGTCCTCGCAGGACCACGCGTGTACTAACTTTGTTTATGATTTACACCCATATTTAAAAGCACAGTCTTGCCTATCGTATCGGTAACGCGATGGCGCCTGGCAGCGCTTGGAAAAAACCCAAAATTACACGGAGATATCCGGTGGCACTATGGAAATCTTAAACCCACGTCTATACTCACGGAAACGTGCATCAGTGCTCGGAAATACCCAACTTTATGCGAAGGCGCCTGGCATCGTCCACTGTCACAGGCATGGTGGTCGTCCCTTACGATTTATGCTTTTTGATTCTTGCCGGTGTGATGCTTCCTCGATTGGTTATGATTTATAACCGCCTATTTTTTATTAGTGATCCAATGAACACAATGTGGCGTAAATAGTTTTAGCTCATACCGACACTTTATATTGTTACGTGCGTTATTATATCACCATATAATAATCGTTTATCGTTATTACCCAAATGCGCAAACAATCAACGAAAATAGAATGATTGGACAAGTCTGCACATTGTGCCTTATTATGACCATTATACACCACCGGTCAAATCTACCACCTACACAATTCATAGCTCCAGCCGCAAAACCGGCGAAAGGGTTAGTTGATCAATTGTACGCCTCTCATATCAAACGTGCACACGCAGCGCTCATTTGCAACACGATCAACGTGCTGGAATGCTGACTGACTGTGTCCGGAAAACTCAAGCACTATGCACCAAGTATTGGCTGAATGTCCAAGGTAGTTGACATAATTGATAGTTATGCTGGTATCTATAAAGATTTATAAAATGGTAAAATTCAAAATGGTGCGTTTTACACATAAAAAACGTACAGTGAGTGAAGAGAACGTTAATATTTACTAACGGAACTTAAGTATAACATAAAACTTCTCAGTACTAATATTTAATGACTCTTTGAACGTTATAAGTTGTAACATCATTCAAAAATCAATGGAATAGTAATGAAATTGCTTGAAACTTTAAGTTGCATTAATATATACTTATGAGAAATAAAACGTCAAAATATTCTTACAAGTCTATAAAATATTTTTTATCAGTTAATCCATTCAACCAATCTGCATATTGTTCAAATCTTTCACTAACAAATATATTTTTGAAAAACTTCCAAGATATGGATCGACTAAGCAACATATCACAAAATGTTAATAAAGCCCTTAACTAAGACTAAGCTTTAAGAATAATTGACTCATCGTAAATGTAACTAGCTAAATAAAATTTAACATTGTTAACAGTGATCATTGATCAACTGTAAAGAACTAACATACATTTATTAATAATTATTTACGTTAGACTTAAAACTTATCAACAAATCAAAAAACAAAAAAATTATCATTAGAAAGTACATACTCTATACAATGCATATTTTCTATGAAGGTATTACTGAAAACTTTTTCAAGACCGGCTTTGAAAAAAGTGTTAACTGGTAAAAAATAAAAATAAAATAATAACTGTTTCACAAATAAATTAAAACTTAAAAATTAATTTTATTTAGTAATTTAAAAATATTATTTTGATAATATAAATTCTTTTGAAGTTTCCATGCTTTTTAGTTATTTTCGTGTGATCGTCACAAAATACGATGAGATAATACATTCAACGATATAAACAACTCCATGGAGTTTTATATACCTTTATACATACGAGTTATATACGAGTTTTTTTTTTTGTTAACGGTATCGCGGGGGGCCGGAAATACTTGTGAGGCAATTCGTCAGCTCCCCCGATATACATATAAAAGCATTACTAGCTAACCTAACCTAAACTAACCTAATTAGCATAACTAGTCTATTTTCTACGCTCCGCTCAATCGTAGGTGTTATTCTGACCTAATGGTGATAATTATATAAAACATAATATTATTGATTGTTTAAAATTTTCGTAAATTAGAGAAATGAGATTTTTTATATTAAAATATACGTAAATTCGTCTATTCTTTTATAGTCATATAAACAAATAATAATAAAAGTAAATAAACTATAGGTACTAAGAAAATATATTTAATTTATTTAAAATTTTAAATAACTGTTAGTTGATCGATGATTAGCTTTTAATTTAGTAAAATTAAATTCTACAAATATGTATACCATTTTAAAATCGAGATAAATATTTCTCAAGTCTAATTAAATGGGTAATGTTTGTTCATACTATAACATATAGTATAGCTGAAAGGTAAATTAAATATGTATATATACATAATAGAACAGTTTTATGAAATATACGCTGAAAGATAGATAAACCTTTTATAGTATCCTGTATGCAAATAAAATTATTTTCACGATTACAAAAAACCATCTCTGAGTTGTCGTTTAATGTAGTATATTCTAAATCACTGTTACATTTTACATATCAAATAAAATATACATGTTTTGTTTAAAATGTATTTAAATTAAAATCCGACAACAACTTATAGTATTGCATATATATATCACATCAATGTTATTGTATTATGTGCTAGTCGTAGAACGTAAGTATACTCATGATAAGTATAAATCAACTAATAATATATAAATTAATAAAACCAAAATATAATAACGTATTATAATTTACATTCTAGAATATACACAAAGTAAGCTACCATCCATTGTTTTTATATGATAATCCAATCTGTATACATACAAACAAAACAAAACTTTACGAATATAAAATATTTTAATTACTTTTTTAATACCAAAAGATTTTGTTAGAACTAAAAAACTTTTATAAAAAAAATTGTTAAGAATTTTTCTTAACTTTTCTATACTGTTTTTGAAATTTTCTAATAGGTATTTTATATTGTACATTGTAATATTGTTCATGTATATGAATTAGATTCATTTGCCTATAATTATTTCTAATGCTAATTATCTGTTAAATACAACAATTTAAATAATATTATGAAATTACTTATCAAAATGTTTATAATATGTATAATTGTACTTTTTAGAATTTCTTTAAAATACACGATAAAAACGTCAAATAAAATTTAAAAAAATATTATTTTTCAACAACTTTTTTTGAAACATTACTTAATTTAAATTTGTTGACATAATAAAAAATTTTTTTTTACAGTGATTGATTATAACCAATATTATGATTCAATAACTATTGAATTTAATTTTACTCATCAAAAATGTATTAATAACGAGTTATACTTTCAAAATAAATTATTAAATATTTTGTTTTTTCTGATTTCTAACTGAAGACGTCTAGAAGAGATTTGAA